AAATTAGTTGAAAAATGAAATCTTTGTCTCTGATTTTGCTCATCGAGTATGGTTTTTTCTTTGTCTGATTTATGTTTGTGAAGTAAAACTAGTAGAAAAATGAAATCTTTATCACTAGTTTTGCTCATCAAGTATGGTTTTTTTCTTTGAATTTCTGCTTCTTCTGTCCTTTGGGGCCTTGGGGAGTGGGGAAGAGAGGAAGAAATAAATTTTGCTATGGAAATTCATTGTAAAAATTCTGTCTTTTGAGGGCCAAAGGGAAATCTTGAGTGTATCAAGTGGTTTTCTGATTCCCTTTGGATTGGGGGGTGGGGGGTGGGGTGGGGAAGAGATAAGCTTTGGTATGGAAATTTGTTGTAAAAATTTGATTGCTAAAAGATCTGTGTTTTGTGGGCCAAAAGGAAATCTTGAGTGTTATTATGGGATTTTATAAAAATAATGAAGTGTTTTTCAAGCCCCATTAAATTGTGGTTTACATAAAATCAGATAGAAAAAACACGAGGGGGAAAGTGTAGAACTGGTCAACTGGCATGTGTTTGTTTTATGGAATCTGAGGTTTTCAAGCTTAAATAAATATTTTTTGGCATCTTGTGAGTTTCATAATGTTTTGTTTAAATATTTTACAATGATCTTTGGCTGAAGATGTGTTGAAATGTTAATTCAGGTTTAGAAAGTTAACTTACTGAACAAAAATACAAATAGCAAGTAATGTAGCTGCTAATTTTGGATTTACTTGGATGTATAGTTAATATGGTCTGAGGCGGATGGAGCTTATATTCAATGGGTTCGACTGATATTCGTACTTTCAGTACAAAATATAGATGTGTATATGTCAAAAATTACAATCATTTCAATGAATATTACATTATAAACCTATGATTTCAAAAGCACAATGAGTTCAATGCTGAAATTCCAACTGGATGAATCCGATCAAGTTTAAATCTTTGATCCGCCTCTAAATACGGTTGTTTTCTACAGGAATGGGAAGGGGGAAACCTGACTACCTGGCTACAGTAGATATAGATCCTAAGTCACCATCTTATTCAAAAGTGATCCATAGGCTGCCTATGCCTTATGAAGGTGATGAACTACATCATTCTGGATGGAATTCCTGCAGTTCTTGTTATGGAGATCCATCAGCTGCTCGACGATATCTCGTCCTGCCTTCACTAATGTAAGAATTATAGCTACTCCCCTATATTGTTCATGAGGGAAAAAAATACATCTTGATGACTATATGCAAGTATAGAACTTATATGATATTCAAGATTTTCGATAATTTAACTCTTGCAGATCAGGACGCATTTATGCAATTGACACACAGAAGGATCCAAAGGCTCCCAGTTTGTATAAAGTTGTTCAGCCAGATGATGTCATCAAAAAGACAGGATTAGCATTCCCGCACACTGCTCACTGCCTTGCTTCTGGTGAGATAATGTTGTCATGTCTCGGAGATAAAGATGGAAATGCTGAGGGGAATGGATTTCTTCTTCTCGATTCAGACTTTAACGTGAAAGGAAGGTACTGTATTGTTGTACTCTCTTGAGTCCTGAATTTTCCTCTGCTGGTTTTGTTAGTTTCCACTTGCCTTGGTCTCTCATGGATGGTTGCAAGAAAATTACAGAATCCCTGCATGTGATTGGGCAAGTCCTCTTTTGATTCCTTGTACCTCGATTATCACATTGTTTTGTTGTAGTTTATGTTCTGTTACTATTTGTTGTTTCTTTTACTTCCGTTACTTCTTTTTCTGGACTGCTTTGGACTGTTTTTTCTTGAGTCGAGGGTCTATCTGAAACAACCCCTCTACCTCTAAGGTAGGGGTGAGTCTGCCTACACTCTAGCCTCCCCAGACCACACTTTGTGGGACTACACTGGGTATGATGTTGTTGTTGTGATCGGGCAACTCCAAGGATTGTTTGCTATTCTATCCTAATTTCCGGTCCTCTTGACAGTTTATCAAGGAAAACTGAAGTTATGTAGTTGTAGTGAAACTAGACTATGCAAAGTGTCTAAACCAAGGCAGATTTTGACTCCTTTCTTATATTTTAGATGGGAGAAACCAGGACATAGTCCCCTCTTTGGCTATGACTTCTGGTACCAGCCTCGACATAACACCATGATCAGTTCCACCTGGGGAGCTCCATCTGCTTTCACCAAAGGTTTCAACCTGCAGGATGTTGCTGATGGGCATTATGGTCGACATTTGCATGTCTACACATGGCCTGGTGGTGAACTTCAACAGACATTGGATCTTGGGAACACTGGGCTCCTTCCTCTAGAGGTAATGAACCCCTTTTCCCCCTTTATAACTTTGCGCCATGGTTTATCCTGCTGAATACATAAATATATTCATTTTCCTTCCGATATATAGGTAAGGTTCTTGCATAATCCATCTGAAGCAATTGGGTATGTGGGCTGTGCTTTGACCAGTAACATGGTGCGATTTTTCAAGAATCCAGATGGCTCGTGGGGACATGAGGTTAGTAATCGTTTACTATTTATTGGACCTTTCAATTAGTTGTTAGAATTATCGATCACCAAGTGGATTCCGGAACCAATGCAGGTAGCTATCTCAGTAAAACCAGTGAAAGTGCAGAACTGGATTCTTCCTGAAATGCCTGGTCTTATTACTGATTTTCTGATCTCTCTCGATGATCGTTTTCTATACCTGGCAAACTGGCTACATGGTGACATTCGACAGTACAATATCGAGGACCCTGCCAATCCTAAGTTAACTGGCCAAGTATTTGTTGGAGGAGTATTTCAAAAAGGGAACGCTGTACTCGCTGAGGCTGAAGATGGTTCGACATACCAAGTTGATGTCCCAGAAGTCCAGGTAATTAGAATTGAAAATAATGTCTCAATAATGTTTTGCTTTCAAGTTCATTACTAGTATAAAGAAAATATGAATACATTTTCACTAAAACAAGCTATATAAGATTTGATCGAATTATAATTCGCCAATAAGCATATAAATCATGTATAATCTGTCTACTTTTGGAGTCAAATCTGTGGTTTGAAATCCAAAATATTGTTGATATTGTTAACTTAAGATAGTTTATGCCTACCCCTTTTTCCCGAAAGCTGTAGAAACGTGGACAAATCGATGTATAAATGACCTTCTGTGTTACTTCCAGGGACATCGGTTGAGAGGAGGACCTCAGATGATACAATTGAGTCTAGATGGAAAACGTTTGTATGTTACAAACTCATTGTTCAGTACATGGGACCGTCAATTCTACCCCGAAATGGTAGAGAAAGGAGGTCACATGTTACAAATCGACGTTGACAGTGAGAAAGGTGGCCTTGCTATAAACCCAAGATTTTTCGTTGATTTCGGAGCTGAACCTGATGGTCCATCTTTGGCTCATGAAATGAGGTATCCTGGTGGTGACTGCACTTCTGATATATGGATATGAGTGCCTAAAATCTCATAAAGAATAAAGTCTGGTGACTCTGGTCCCATGATATTGCATTTGTTTATTGAACATCTTCCTTAAACTCCATGTACCTTATAACTTCACGTTTCAGTTTTTCTTTATCTTGATGGAGCTTTGTCTTGATTTCAGAATTTTTACTCTGGTTATCCCTTCTTTATATGAGCTCTTTGGTAAATAACGCCTTTTTTTAATTCTCGTGCAACTTATGGACCTTTTAGACCATGGTTTATCTATCATTTTTTAGCAAACCAAAAAACTTGTGAGAAAACGTTAGACTATGGTCATAAATTTGTAAGTTTACAAACGTAGATCATGGTCTAGTGTTTCCTGTTTATCAGAAGGATTAAAATTTTCGAAGGTTATATTACACAGTTTTAAAATAGGAACAAAATTGCCGCCTAAAAAGGGGACTTTTGTGCAAGTCAATCAACTTTTTATCATTTGCATCTGTTTATTGAAAATTCTAACTCTATCTCTAATTTAACGTATCCTTAATAAAACTTGTTACACTATTGAAAAGTTGAAAAGTTGCATGTAGTGGTTAAGGTTGGTGAAGAAAATCCTTACAAGGTTGATTTTTGTCGCATGAAAAATGTAGCGTCGTAATGTGGACTATCCTAAAGTAGCAACCTAGATGTCTAAAGTCTCGTGAAGCTAACGTCTCAACATTAAAAATGGGACCACATTCGTCAAAAGGTGTAAATAGTACTCCCTCCGTCCCTATTTACTTGTCCATATTTTCTTTTTTAGTTGTCCCTATTTAGTTGTCCATTTTGACAAATCAAGAAAAGACAACAAATTTTTTCCTATTATACCCTTATTTACACTTCTTGAAAATTGTAAAAGTGTATGTTGTTTCCCTCCAATTTATTTCACTTTAATTCAAATAAGTGGTTGTAATTTTGAAGTGAAAAGTTGTCATAAGGGTAAAATTGTAACTTCACTGTGCTAATCATTGTTGCCTTAATCTGTGTGTCATTTCTAAAGTGGACAACTAAAAAGGGACGGAGGGAGTAATATTAAGGATAAAATATGAGAAGATTGCTTAAAATGGTTTGAACATATTTTACGTTGACCTATAGATACATTGATCGACATACGTGAAACTATGATAAGTGAGTGTTAAAAAGGTGGACAAAATAGTCCTAAAACTTAATATGGAATGAAGTGGTCTCAAAAGACTGGTAATTGCTTGATATCAATATAGATTTAGCTAAAGATCAGTCACAACGGACGGATAGATTTTAGACTCGCTCCCATTATTTAGTGATAACAAATTGAAGATTCGTAAACTTATTTAAGACTGAGACGTAGTCTTTCTGGTAACCGCATTGATACCTTAATAAGTATGATAGTGCAGCCAACAAAATTTTTTTACATAATAAGGCTCGAATCCAAAAGTTAAAAGTCGAGGAATCCTAACCATCCCGCCACAACTTAGATCGTTTAACTAGGCATAGTTACTATTGTTGGCTAGACAATTCAATAGCTTAAGGATTTTTGTTTCCAGAAATATTTGAAGTTAATAGCAGCTCATTAGCTTCCCACTCTTAATTAAACCACTGGTTATGAATGCAGCACTTTCATTTTCTTCACCAACTCCAACGATGCGCAAGATTCCATTTCCCTACAGAAGGCAGAAAACTACATGCCCTCATAATCAAGATTGGTTTATACAAGTGTTCCTTAAAGCTTTGCAACAATCTCATAGACATGTATGGCAAATGTGGCCTTCTTGATGATGCCTTACAACTGTTCGACGAAATGCCCCAAAGAGATTTAGCTTCATGGGCCTCTGTTTTTACTGCACACAACGAAGCTAATCAACCCCAGAACACTCTTTTCCTCTTTCCCAATATGTTTTTAGATGGTCTTTGGCCTGACCATTTCGTTTTTGCTAGTGTTGTTAAGGCTTGTGCTAATTCGGGTGCGTTGAGAGTTGGTAAACAAGTGCATTGCCAGTTCTTGAAATCGGTGTTTTCGGTTGATGATGTTGTTAAGTCTTCGTTAGTTGATATGTATGCGAAATGTGGATTGCCTGATAATGCAAAATCGGTTTTTGACTCGATTTTGGTTAAGAATTTGATTTGTTCGAGTGCAATGATATCGGGGTATGCTCGTTGTGGGAGGAAGAATGAAGCTTTTGTGCTACTAGGGAATTTGCCAGAAAAGAATTTGCAATGTTGGACTGCTTTGATATCGGGGTTTGTGCAAAATGGGAACTGGATTGATGCCGTTGATGTATTTCTTGAAGTAAGAAGAGAAGGGGTTGATATGAGGGACCCGTTTATTCTTTCGAGTATAGTAGGAGCTTGTGCTAGCTTAGCTGCACTGCAGCTCGGGAAACAGATTCATCGATTAGTTTTAGGCCTCGGTTATGAATGTAGTTTGTTTGTTAGCAATGCCCTTGTGGATATGTATGCTAAATGTAGTGATATTGTGGAAGCTAAGAGAATATTTGATAGCATGTTGACAACAGATGTTGTATCTTGGACCTCAATTATTGTCGGGATGGCACAGCACGGGCAAGCTATTGAAGCGTTGTTGTTATATGATGATATGATCTTGGCTGGCCTTAAGCCAAATGAAGTAACCTTTGTTGGATTAATCTATGCTTGTAGTCATGTTGGATTAGTAAACAAAGGCAAGAATCTTTTTAAATCCATGATTGAGGATTATAAGTTAAGTCCTTCTCTGCAGCATTATACGTGCTTGTTAGATCTGTTTAGTCGTTCAGGTCACCTTGAGGATGCTGAGAACCTTCTTAACACGATGCCATTTCAGCCTGATGAAGCTGTTTGGGCTGCTTTATTAAGTGCTTGTAAGCAACATGGAAATACTGAAATGGGAGTCAGGGTCGCTAATCGCTTACTACTTCTCGGACCAAAAGATCCTTCAACTTGTATACTGCTTTCAAATACATATGCTGGTGCAGCTCTATGGGACAATGTATCTAAGTTGAGGAAGCAGCTGGCAAATTTGGAAGTTAGGAAAGAACCTGGTTATAGTTCTATTGATTCAGGAAAAGAAACTACGACGTTCTATGCTGGAGAGGCATTGTATCCAATGAAGGACGCGATATTTTCCCTCCTAAAGGAATTTGATTCTGAGATGAGGAAGAGAGGTTATATTCCTGACACCACATTCGTTTTGCATGATATGGAACAGCAAGAGAAGGAAAGACAGCTCTTTTGGCATAGTGAGAGATTAGCTGTGGCTTATGGAATTCTGAGGACTGTTCCTGGATCAGTAATAAGGGTGGTGAAAAACCTCCGAATTTGTGGCGATTGTCACACCGTTATAAAGTTTATATCAAGCATTACAAACCGAAAAATTGTCATTAGAGATGCAAATAGATTCCATCACTTCAATGAGGGGACATGTTCATGTAATGACTTCTGGTGATTGTACTGTCAGCTGTTAGGTGTCTACACTCTATTGACATCGATCCTTGGACACAGAGGCGGAGCCAAAATTTGAAACTTATGAGTTCTAGAATAGAGTTATCAAGATTGAATCTGATTTTTTTCAGGAAACAAAATGTTACATGCTTATTGAATAAGTTTGTAGTACAAAAGTAGTTAATGTGCCTTCATTTACAACTTTATGTCCTCATAAATATATGTCTAGTTCTATCAGATCTAATCAAATTTCAATCACTATATTATCGCCAGTTCGCCGGTAGCTGTTCAGATCTTGCATCTTTCATAGCTAAAAAAATGAGGAATCATTGGTACAAGTTGTCAATTTGCTCTTTGTAAAGAGCTGCAACTCTGTCTCTCTTGATTTTCATAGTTGGTGTTAGGAAGCCACTATCAATCTGCAGTAAATAAAAAGGTCTAAGCTACAGAAATCGTCTGACATTAAACTCGAATAAAATATGGCCAAAGAGGTATCGCTTGTATGACACTCATACTAGTAACAACAGTGATCAATACGACTACGTTCCACTAGACTGTGGAGGATTATTCCTTCATGTTGATGAAACAGAGGTCATTGGTTTCGATTATGAAATGCTTTCATTTGATTTGACAAATATGTGGGTAGGAGAACACCGTGATTTGCAACCGCGACGTGAATGGATTGTTAACAAAAAGAAAAGTAAAGCAGACTTAACTTAAGCGTGGAGATATTATTGATACCCAGTAAAGGAAAAACAAAAAACAAATGAAAAGCAGTCCTAAAGCATCAAGATATCATATATACTTTGTCTTTCTTTTGAATTTAAGGAAAAGCACCTTCTTAGGTCCTTTTACTGTATCCATTTAATCAAATTATAGATAGGAGACTTGTTTGTGGACTAAAAGAAAATAGTGGAATATCATTCTTTTCCTTAAAAGTGTCTCTGCCCTTATAACTTCAGATTAGAAGTTTTTCAAGCTACTGAAAAAGAAAGGAGAAAAAAATGGCTGAAATTCTTCTTACAGCAATCATCAATAAATCCATAGAAATAGCTGGAAATCTACTCTTTCAAGAAGGGAGCCGCTTGAATTGGTTGAAAGAGGACATTAATTGGCTTCAGAGAGAAATGAGACACATTCGATCATACATAGACGACGCAAAGGACAAGGCAATTGGAGGCAATTCAAGGGTGAAAAACTTGATAAAAGATATTCAAGAACTGGCAGGTGATGTGGAGGATCTCTTAGATGACTTCCTTCCGAAAATTCAACAATCCAACAGCACAATTTGTCGGCTTAAGACTGCTTGCATCCCTTCTCATGCTTCTTTTGCCGATGAGTTTGCTATCGAGATTGAGAAGATAAAGAAAAGGGTTGCTGACATTGACCGTGTAAGGACAACTTACAACATCATGGATACAAGTAACAACAATAATGATGATTGCATTCCATTGGACCAAAGAAGATTATTTCTTCATGCTGATGAAACAGAGGTCATCGGTTTGGATGATGACTTCAATATGCTACAAGCCAAATTACTTGATCATGATTTGCCTTATGGAGTTGTTTCAATAGTTGGCATGCCCGGTTTGGGAAAAACAACGCTTGCCAAGAAACTTTATAGGCATGTCCGTCATCAATTTGAGTGTTCGGGATTGGTCTATGTTTCACAACAGCCAAGGGCGGGAGAAATCTTACGTGACATAGCCAAACAAGTTGGACTGGCGGAAGAGGAAAGGAAAGAAAACTTGGAGAACAAAGTACGATCACTCTTGAAAATAAAAAGGTATGTTATTCTCTTAGATGATATTTGGGATGTTGAAATTTGGGATCAACTAAAGCTTGTCCTTCCTGAATGTGATTCAAAAATTGGCAGTAGGATAATTATAACCTCTCGAAATAGTAATGTAGGCAGATACATAGGAGGGGATTTCTCAATTCACATGTTGCAACCTCTAGATTCGGAGAACAGTTTTGAACTCTTTACCAAGAAGATCTTTACTTTTGATAACAATAATAATTGGGCCAATGCTTCACCAGACTTGGTAAATATTGGTAGAAGTATAGTTGGGAGATGTGGAGGTATACCGTTAGCCATTGTGGTGACCGCAGGCATGTTAAGGGCAAGAGAAAGAACAGAACGTGCATGGAACAGGTTACTTGAGAGTATGAGCCATAAAGTTCAAGATGGATGTGCTAAGGTATTGGCTCTGAGTTACAATGATTTGTCCATTGCATTAAGGCCATGTTTCTTGTACTTTGGTCTTTACCCTGAGGATCATGAAATTCGTGCTTTTGATTTGACAAATATGTGGATTGCTGAGAAGCTGATAGTTGTAAATAGTGGCAATGGGCGAGAGGCTGAAAGTTTGGCGGAGGATGTCCTAAATGATTTGGTTTCTAGAAACTTGATTCAAGTTGCCAAAAGGACATATGATGGAAGAATTTCAAGTTGCCGCATACATGACTTGTTACATACTTTGTGTGTGGACTTGGCTAAGGAAAGTAACTTCTTTCACACCGAGCACAATGCATTCGGTGATCCCGGCAATGTTGCTAGGGTGCGAAGGATTACATTCTACTCTGATAATAATGCCATGAATGAGTTCTTCCGTTCAAATCCTAAGCCTACGAAGCTTCGTGCACTTTTCTGTTTCATAAATGACCGTTGCCTATTTTCTCATATGGCTCATCTTAATTTCAAATTATTGCAAGTGTTGGTTGTAGTCATCTCTGCTGGTGATTTACTGAGTATGAGATTCCCAAACACGTTTGAGAAGACGAGTTGCTTACGCTATCTGCGATTGGAGGGGAATTTTGATGGGAAACTGCCAAATTGTATGGTGAAGCTCAAACATCTAGAGACCCTAGATATTCGTAAAAGCTTCTTTATTAAACTTCCTACTGGTGTTTGGAAGTCTACACAATTGAGACATCTTCGTTCTATAGGTTATAATCTAGCACCTTACAATTACTTTTGTATAAACCCATTTTTTCCAAACGTGTACTCATTGCCTCGTAATAATCTACAAACTTTGATGTGGATGGATGGTTTTTTTTTTGAACCAAGATTATTGCACCAATTGATCAATTTAAGAAAACTGGGTATAAAAGGAGTATCTGATTCTACAGTTAAGATATTATCAGCATTGAGCCCTGTGCCAACGGCGCTGGAGGTTCTGAAGCTCAAAGTTGACAGGGTGAGTGAGCAAATAAACTTGTCGTCGTATCCAAATATTGCTAAGTTGCATTTGAGCGGAACAATTCCCTTGAACTGTGAAGCATTCCCTCCAAATCTTGTCAAGCTTACTCTTGTCGACTTTGACGTAGACAGTCATGTAGTGGCAGTGCTTAAGAAATTGCCCAAATTAAGGATACTTAAAATGTATTGGTGCAACCATATGGAAGAAAAAATGGATCTCTCTGGTGATGGTGATGGTGATAGCTTTCTGCAACTTGAAGTTTTGCATATTGTGTATGCACGTGGGTTGTCTGAAGTAAGTTGCAGGGATGATATGAGTATGCCTAAATTGAAAAAGCTATTTTTACTTATAGATACCACTTCCGGCGTTAGGCTCTCGGAACGTCTTGCAAAGCTGAGAGTATGAAAATCCAATGTGTCAAACAGGTTAATTATTTACTTTTAATATCTCTGAATAAGCTCATTTTTTATTAATTAATTCATCAACTTAATATTTTATGTCTAATAAATTGCAGATGCATTTGTGAATGATTAAGTCTTTGCTGGAGAGCATCATCTGATGCCTGTTTGTATTTGAAATAAATAAATTAAATGTTTGATTGCTTCATGAAGTTGATGTATTTGTGGCTTGTGATTTATAAAAGATTTATTTATTGTCTTATGTATATTTACTTTGGAATTAGTAGCTTTAGTTTATTTTCTTCTCAAGAATCAAAGTTTACAATATAAGTTATGGCTTTGCATCGATCGATTCGGGTCAATTTTATGTATTGTCATTTCATTTTATCGGTTTTTGGTTATGGTTTGTTTGTCAATTAGTGATGGTGATGGTGATGGTGATAGCTTTCCGCAACTTGAAGTTTTGCATATTCGTGAACCAGATGGGTTGTCTGAAGTAACGTGCAGGGATGATGTGAGTATGCCTAAATTGAAAAAGCTATTACTTATAATTGATTCCAACGTTAGGCTCTCGGTCTCAGAACGTCTTGCAAAGCTGAGAATATCAATGTGTCAACAGGTTAATTATTTACTTTTAATATCTCAAAATAAGCTAATTTTTTAGTATTTAATTGATGAACTAAATAGTTTTTGTCTAATAAATTGCAGATGCAGTCTTTGGTGGAGAGCATCTTCTGATGCGTGTTTGTATTTGTAATAAATAAATTAAATGCTTGATTGCTTTTTCAAGTTGATATATTTGTCGCTTGTGATTTGTAAAACATATCTATTTTGTTGTGTTATGTATATTTACCTTTGGAATTAGCAGTAGTTTTATTTTCTTCTGTTCTTCAAGAATATAAATTACCTATCATAGCAAGTATCATATCATAGGATTGGACGCTACCACAAAATGGCTTTTTGTTTGTTAAAGAATTTTGTATTTTATTCTACAAAGTTTAGTTTCCCAATATAATTATTTAAGTATTCATATTTGTGACAATTAATATGTTTAATATGAGAAATAGATCAAAGTACTTTTTTTAAAAAAGCGAATGTATATATTTTTCTTCGTTATCACATGAAGTGCAAGATATTCTCAGGAAACAAAATGCTACATGCTTATTGAACTATGTGCCTTCATTTACAACTTTATGTCCTCATAAATATATGTCAAGTTCTATCAGATCTAATCAATTTCAATCACTATATTATCATTGCAATCTCAGGTTTCTTGATGGAAATATAATCTGAAAAACCAACTCGCCGGTAGCTATTCAGATCTTGCATCTTTTATAGCTAAAAAATGAGGAATCATATGAACAAGTTGTCAATTTGCTCTTTGTAAAGAGCTGCAACTCTGTCTCTCTTGATTTTCATAGTTGGTGTTAGCAAGCCACTATCAATCTGCAGTAAATAAAAAGTTCTAAGCTACAGAAATCAACTGACATTAAACTCGAATCAAATATGGCCAAAGAGGTATCGCGATAAATGGTACCGTGAAAGGTTGATCAACAACAAGGATAGGTCCAACTTGAAACGAGCACCCCGAAGTCCTGCATTTGTTAAATAAGAGGGGAGATGATTTTTATTCTAACGAAATTGAAAACAAAATATCAGGAAATTTCCTGATATACGAGTGAATTGGTCAATGTAGAAGGTGTAAGTAAGTCCTTACCATTTTCGTAACTCATCGTGTAATAGGCCAACAGTTATTTCTTTGCTAACTTCAGTGGTTTCAGAATCCACAACAGCTGATCTTTTAGCTGCTAACAGAACCTCTTCCTTGTTTGGTACAATTATAGCTCCAAGACGCCGTTGATCCTATATGTTATTGATGTCAAACTTATGAAACGTGAGAGAACATCTTAATTACGCGCTCAATAATAACAACTCACCTGGCCAATGACAACAATCTGCTGGATCAGACTACTTCCCATAGCAGCTTCTTCAATCTCTGATGGTTCAACATTCTCACCTAGTTTTTCCACACAAGGGAAATACATATAATAAAGTTCAAAGCTGTGGATTGCAAAATTACTCGTAAGATGAAACCCGTTTCTTTGCAGTTTACCAATAGAACGTCATCTTCGAATAACAATCCACACAATAAAGGCTCTAATTCCAAAACACATTACTAACAGAACACCAGAACAACGACAAACTTAATGTTACTAGAGTAGTCCAAGAGCAGACACACTAGAAGTAATTATAGCTTACCAGTTGAAAGGACTATGGTATCCTTTGCACGGCCTTCAAGGACTATTACACCCCCACAATTACGGCTTCTCCCTATAGAGTGATCAGGCACAATCCACCCAAGATCACCAGTGTTCAGCCATCCGTTCTCATCAATAGCTTGTTTTGTTGCCACCGGATTCTAAAGAAAATTTACGAGATACTGATGGTTAATTAACACTGCAAGTAGAATTATGTTCCGGAGTAACACATACAGCTCAAAATGACTTTCAATGAAGGCAAAACATGCTTTTGATGTCTTTTATTATGACCAACATGTAACAAAGAAGCTCTTTTCCAAGTATTGCTGAAGGAAATTAATATTCCCCCTGTTTCAACTGATTCATGCACTTACCAAACATTTATTAAAATATCCATGTTACATTATACTGTATGTATCTAACATCATGCGTAAATGTATTTAGATTGTTTATGTCAGAGAGAAAGGTACTGCCTCCTCAAAAGGGGAAAAACAGCCTAGGTAATGTCATAATCATATAAAGTTCCGAGAAATAATTCAAATAAAATGAAGCAGTGTCACGCTAAAATAAAATGTAAAGAAACCTAATGATGCCTCGTCATAGATGTACAAGCGAAGACAACAACATATCCAGTGTAATCCCACAAGTGGGGTTTGGGAGGATAGGATGTACGCAAACTTTGTGGAGTAGAGAGGTTGTTTCTGAGAGACCCTCGGCGTCCAAGGGACGACAAAAAGAAAATATAATTTCTGATCAAGCTATTGCATTGCATTGGAATAACAGGTCTAACAAAGAGGAACTATAGAACTCATTAAGCAAAAAATGATGCACTAACCTTATAGTATCCTTTCATTATTAGTGGCCCTCTAGCTTTGACAGTGCCTTTTGAGCCGGGGGGAAGGACCTCATCTGTTTCAGAATTTACAACTTTTACCTCTACATGCCGAATGGGACGCCCAATTGAGCCAAGAACCTTCAGAGATCAACAAGGATTATGTTATAAGAATACCACATTCTGAAGTATGCACAATTAAAGCCAAGTAATGATAGTAACTAGCCTAAGAATATGTAAAATACAAAATCGCATTTTTGTGTGGTGGGAAGCAACAAATGTGCCATTATGAAACAATTTCACGTGATGGTTGTGGTATTATGACATCTTCAAAGGTTACAACTCAATACAAGGCATCCCTATAAGAAACTTCATTGATGAAGAAGTAGAATTATTTTGGTTCCATATCTATGAGATACAATACTCACGTTACACGTAAGACTCCGTGCAGCAATCACAGGAGCTGACTCTGTCAAGCCATATCCATTCTGAATCTTAATGTCAATTGCCTACGAATTACCAAAACGTATGTAAGGAAAGATCATCAATCCAATTGCCTACTTACAATAGTTAAGACTACAGAAACTACTAACCTCAAAGAATTTGTCTACATGGGAAGAAAGACTACCGCCCCCGCTTATGCCAGCCTGTAAAATGTAAAAGAAGGTAGTCAATTAGTATCTTCACAATCCAGCGGACCAAAGTCACGTTTGCCAAGCAGAATATAAGTATAACAAAACAGCAGCATGGTGTTTATGGAAAAGAATAGAATGCCGTTGTTAACAATGTGTGAAAAGATTTAAGCTTACAAGCATGCATTTGGACAAACAACAGCTTGAGTACATGTAAGCTACTACTGCAACCTTTTCAAAATATTTCCGCTCACATTGGCGTGAGAAAACATTCACCTCTCTCTTCAAATTTCTTATTTTACTTTCTTTTTGTTTTAAAACTTACTTTGTTTTTCTTTTGATGTTCTGAGATAGTGTTAAACTCTTTAATTTTCTCTGGTTACACCCTTACTGCATCAGAAATTTCTTATTTCGGGGATACGTAGTGTACCAAAATGTCACAAGTTTATTAATGACGCATCCAACCTCAAAAGAGTTGCCTAAATCAGTCAACTGACGAGTGTCACACCATTATAAGGCCTACAACACAGGCATTTGTTTTGCTAGTTCAATAAGTCCTAAACTTCAAAGATGCACAGGTAAGGAACATCACAAGTCACTAGCAGTTGCATATCAAACCTTTGAAATACCAATGCCTGAGTGTATTTTACTGTAAACAATTTTCTTGGCCAGCATATGTAATGGCAATAGTATAGCAGCAATAGTTCGAGCCCACAACCAGTCAAGCAATGATACAATATATGAAGGTTGCTTCGTGTCCTTCGTTAAACATTTCCCCTGCATCACAGACCATGATGGAAAAGAGTAAATCATGATTAAATCAATGTGCTCACTTGGGCGATACATTATAATTATAACCAGAAGTACATCAAAAATCATTCCTCGAAACAAATTGAATGACATACTTTCGTAGTAAGAGTTAATAGTTAACTGCAAACATAAACAAACGCGCAACTAGTGCAACAGAATCCCTAATAAAAATAATAACGACACAAGCAACAAAAATAAAATATGATAGAAAAATGAAATATGCAAGAAAAGAAACAGTGCAAGCTATCAATCCATTTTCTACACCCATTACATGTGCAGATCATAGCATCTTAAGTTCAAGAGTTCAATCTTCGGCATCCATTTTAACAAGTAACAGTTTAAAAGTCCCACTATACGTGTGAGGCAGAAATGCAGCTGGAGAAGAACAGGTATTGTATGTGATCTTCCTTAACTAAGTGGTACAGCCTGGGGCAATTGTTGAGAGGTTGAGGGATTGACATAAATTCAGATAGTC